ATAATGCCTACGAAGGTCTTAGCATGAATAATGACCTGAGCTAGATTCTTGATTTGGGAAAGAAATTTATGTTCACTCGAGATCCTTTGTTGGTAGTGTGAATACAGGATTGATTTGGATAATCCTATGAAAGAAAAAATTAAATACCCCCCATTGTTATAGTGAAAATCAACAGAGAGGTTTATTCCCTAGTATAATTCTTATGGGACTTCATATACTTATTTGTTTTTGATAAAATTAACTTGAGCTATTCTTTTTAGCGTCAATATATTGTAGTTGAATTTATCATCAATTCAGCTCGAGAAAATTGGCCTGGCATTTGAGTATTTTGAACTTAGATAAGGTAGAAACTTTCTCGAAAGAAAAAAAAAAATTATATCTCATGTCTTTTGTCTCACTTTAGTTTAGAGTAGAAGACGTTTATATCTCATATTACTTACTACAAGAGATTGTACTAGGGGTTTGTCCGAAAAAATCCTTGATCGATCAAGCTAATATGTATTTATCCGACAAAATGCCAAGCGTTTGTTCGGCAAAGCCCAAAAGTATTTATTTAATAAGTTTGAAATGAAAATATACTCACTTTATATAGTATTATTCTGATAATTATCCATTTAATGAATAAAAATAATTTTTTAATGCTTTATTGATGTGGCATTGTTAGCGGACTTATTTTTATCACGAGTATGCGATGTAGCACACACACACACACACCTATAATACTAAGATAGGAAAAATCAAATGATATCCTAGTCATTATACAAAGGTACAAAGGGTTGGACTATAAAAGTGGCTCATACACTATTTGCGGAATATAACATTCAACGACGTCCTAATACACCAAGACTTCATCTCTCTCCCTTTTTCTGCTCTTGAAATCCTAGTTTTCTATAAGAAACTTCTTGAGTTGAATATTGAAGGTGTATTACCAGTGATTTTTTTGACATCTCTTTGTTTAGTAGATTGACCTCAACAAAACAAAAGGAACCATCTCTTCCTGTGTGCTACTATTAATTTTGACCAAAGAATTTTGAATTAATAGTTTAGACTCAATCAATTAATAGGTCAGTTATTTTGTTATTCCAGATCATGGGATCTAACACTTGTATTTATTTTTATTGCTGAAACAAAATTGCTTTATTATATTATTGAAACCAAAATGATGTTAGGATTATTAGTAGTGGAAAATGTTTTTAGATAATATAATTTTATATTAAGATGGATGAACTTTAACGTATAGAAGACTGTGGCCACAAAATTAATTACCTCCTTATTGTACGATATTGTGCTGTGATAAGACACTCTTTCGTTAGACACCATTCTCTTGTTAGCCACCACTTCTTCATTTGACGCCACTTTCCTCCTATCATGCCCCCACACACGGTCGAACAAAAAGAAGATGATATCCCTGGTTATCATGCAAAGGTGCATGGGGTTCCCTCAGCTGCATCACATCTCATTCCCGGTACCATATATAAAAGCGACTGTACACAATAATCGATGGATATAATATCTAGCCACCACACAATAAACTAAACCAAGGCTCTCTCTCCCTTAGAGCTAGCTCTCAAAGCCTTAGTTTCTACGATAGACAGAGTCGAGTATTGGAGGAGGATTGTTAGGTACTTTCTGACATATATTTTGTGCATCCATCGTCTCTCTCGCTCCAAGGCAAAAGTCGTGTTCGCTCCTGAACTCAAGTTCCATAAATTTCGGTGGCTCTAAGCATGTTTGCGGCATCGATAGAGTTGGGAATATGGGCTCGGTCGATCAAATCCATCACGACTTGGGCCAACATCCATATCTTATGAGTAATATCCATCTCCTTCAAAAATTATGAATGAGAGAGAACCACCTCATGTGTAGAATGGATGGGATCCACAACAACTTTGCTAACTTCATCCATCAAGATGCGATGCTTGGTGGCTGCAGATGTACCGTTTCCCTCCCCACCTTCTTACCATCAACACGGCGTAAATTAAGAATACTGTTCGAAGCGGTAAATGTCGACAGAGGAAGCTTCTCAGTGTTCGGGTGGGGGTACAATCTAACACGCACTTTCTTCGCATGCAGTCCTCGTGATTCTCTGGAAAGGCATCATCACTCATAATCTTAATCAAAGATGTAAACAGCCATTTATCATCTTGTTGTTGAAGATCTCAGCATTCAAATAGATTGCAGACATGCATGGATTAGGATCCGACTTCGAGTATATTGGGTTGGGCTAGCGGCTAAATAGGTTTATTATCCTTCATTTTCTACTTCTTTTGTGTGTATTTGTCCAGTGAAAAGCAAGGAAGAGAGGAGAAAAAAGAGCACTCCTGTTGTTGCTTCTTATCCTTTATGCTCCCTAGGTACGTTGTGTGCCATGTTTCGTGTTGTAGTCGGATGTCTGTGGCACATTGTAACATACACCACCTGTTCCACCTGCAAGTTAGATCATGTCAACAGATGTTGGTGGGAGGCATGGAAAGGCGAATGCAGTCCTTGCTATTGTACCTCCTTTGCCATTGTGCACCACAGCATGACGTACTTATCCAGATGTTTGTTCCAGCGGGCGCAACGCCTCCTTCCTGGATGAGCATGGTGGGAATTGCAGGACAGCAAAGCCATTGATTCCCCCAGGACTCTCTTCTGCTGTCCTCTCTGCCTCCTTCGGACCCAAGCAAAGGTGGAAGGTGGGACGAAGCTTCTGCAGTTGTTTGTACATGGCAAGCTAAGCTTTGGTTGTGTGGGTGGGATCGGGTGTGGCAATCACCGAGTACCGCAGCGCCCTCTCCATGTTTCCCTTCACACCCCCCACTGGTTTCCTCGAGTTAGAAAAGCCATTCTTTCTGCTCTATTTTGCCTCTCTTGTCGTGGATAGGGTTCACCAAATCCAAATCCAAATCCAAATCCACGGCGCAATCATGGCGAAGATCTCGATGGATGCCTTCCCCCACCAATTTGACTTTCCACACGATACAGAAATCCATCCGGCCTTCCCGACCTTTCTCACTCCTCGGGAGGGATCAACGCCCACCATGCATTCGGTCTATGGTCAATGGTATACCCGTGGCACCTCCTCCCATCGTCAAAGTCGATCGAGTTGGCTTAGCACCTTCTTGTTCTCGTCCAAGCTTCACACCGGGCTTTCCGTCAAGAAATGTGTGCATGAAGCATGTCGGCATGCAGCACTCGTTTCTAAATGTGCCATCCCCTTTGTCCTCCTCGTCATCGTCAACGCAAGCCTTGGTCCTCATCCTTTCACAGCCTGAGACGAAGGTAGGTGCATTAGGTCCGATGGCAAGTAAGAGTCCTTTACCAAAGGTCACGACGTACTATAATCGAAGTGTTGTTAACACCGATAAGCCAACATGGATGGGCCTATTCATGCACCGCTAATTCTTATTTTACATTATCCCAAATCGTGGGTCTTAATTTTCATGTCTGCATTAGCTGCGCTGGAAACCATATTACTCGAGACTTAATCCCCTGTTTTCCTGGCTCTGTCTTCTCTCCGACCACGCTATTGGATCAGACCGTGATCTTTAACCATTGGAGCTGGACCACACATCCACTAATTTATCCGGATAAGGCTCCAATTAGGTGTTTAGGGAGGGTGTCCACCATGGTCCATGAATCCACCTGATTTATTTATTGAGGTTGCAAGTCCCTCACCCATCTTTTCTAAGTGATTCTTGTGTATCTATCGTCCAAAGTTTTGGAAATAGCACGATCTAGACTCCTGAGCTCACCAAGAGGACCCATGGGACCCATTTATATGTCACCACCTTTCTCAAGTGGTAAGTCGAGACGGGTAGCTTTGACGGGGACGGCATGAGCGTGTGATGGTTATTCGTAGGCCTGCTGCTACGCGCGCGCCCAGAGTGGCCCTTCCTTTTAGATCCGTGGACCACGTTTAGCTAATCAGCACTCCGGAGGAATAGATTAACCTTAAATGGCCCAGGATAAAGTGGATCCCACGGAGGTCCACGTGGCTAGCGGATCCGGTCAGCTACGTGGACGTGGCGGTTGGGTTTGGATAACCATCGGCCGTGACCAACACGGTCAAACGTGTGACACGCCCCGGGTGACGTAGGCGGCGCGTCAACCTCGTCGCGGATGGCGACGTGTCGTCCATCCGAGGCAATACCTCCGGGGCCCGCGTCGAGATCGTCTCCATAGAATCAGCTATGCGACCCCTCGGCTATCGCGTTACGGCGAGGCTCCTGCGGACCGGCGTGCGGCGCACGTGGAAATCGACTCGTGGCTTCTCTCTATGGGAGCTCGAGGAGGACCCCGGCGACGTCGACGTGCTCCGCTGTGCACGCTGTCGTAGTCGCCGTCCACAGCCACGTGTCAGGGCATGCGTAGTCGATTTTACGGAACTACCCTCATGTTTCGTGTGTTTTCCCCGACATTCGAATAAATGATAAATCTCGGCATGGAAATGCAAAAGTCGGTGTATCTGGAATCGTCGGAAGAGTCGTGCCTACGAGGCAGGTGTGTTCCGCGTCCGCTCATCGCACTATTAGCCACCATGGAATGCCAAATCCACGAGAACGATGAGGAGGAATCATCGGAAGCGATCGTAGCCAGCTGGAAATTGCGAATGGATAATTATCGCCGAGAAGTCTGAATGATAAAAAGCTACGGTGTGCATGCACATACATGATTTGGATCGTACATGGGCATCACACCAAGCGTGTATCACTTGCCTACAGCAGACGCCGCTCCTGATGAAGTGCCTACAGCATATCTTAATGGATTTTTAGAAGTTTTCTTTGGAATATAAATGAGCACAATATTTATTTTAGAAATTATAAAAGAAAGGGGAAAGAAAGAAAGAAAGAAAGAAAGAAATCGAGTTATTTTGTAAATTCAAAACCTTCCCGAATTTGTAATTTCACCTCATGATAAATATGAAAAGTCCACCGCCTACTCCCGGTCACCCCCTCCAGCTGCCCGAGACCCCACACCTCCAAACCCTCCAGTTCAAAACTTCCCTTTTCCATTCCCCTATCCATTTCCCTTCTTCCCATATCTCCCTTCTCCTTCCCTTTCTATCCTCTCCGACGAGAAAGACTCATCCCAAAGAAACAAATAGAAGAAAGCAAGGAAGCGGATCCCCTTTCTCTAATCGTCACCGCCCTGGTTCTACGATTCCCTTAAATCCACGCTTAACGGCGCCCGCGTCCAGCAACACTAACCCTCGCCATCACCGCCGAATGCGCCCCACCTCTTCTTCCTTCTGCTCTGTCTTCTTCCTCTTCTGTAACACCCTCCGATAGCCACCACCGGCCGTCATCCTAACCCTAACCCTCACTCTGTCTCCAGATCCAGAAGCGGGTCAAGCGATGCCCTCCTTCTCCTCCGCCAACCTCCTCGAGCTGGCAGCCGGCGACGACGCCGACTTCGCCGCGTCCCCTCTTCGTCCTCCCCTCCTTCCCCGCCTCATGGCGGACGACGGCACCCCCGCCTCCCCGTCGCAGCGGGAGCGGCGGATCATTGTCTCCCACCGACTCCCCCTTCGCGCCGCCCCTGACCCCTCCGCACCCGGTGGCCTTTCTTTCTCCTGGGACCCCGACGCGCTCGCGCTTCAACTGCGCTCCGGCCTCCCGCCCGCCGCCGAAGTCTTCCACGTCGGCACCCTGGCCGCCGCCGCCACCGTCGACCCTGCCACCCACGCCGCCATCTCCCGCGTCCTTTACGATCGCTTCCGCTGCCTTCCCGTCCTTCTTCCTGCCGACCTCCACCGCCGCTTCTACCATGGCTTCTGCAAGCACTACCTCTGGCCCCTCCTCCACTACCTCCTCCCTCTCTCGCCGTCCTCCCCCGGCGGTCTCCCCTTTGACCGCACCCTCTGGCTTTCCTACCTCTCCGCTAACAAGCTCTTTGCCGACCGTCTCATAGAGCTTCTCAACCCCGACGATGATCTCGTGTGGATCCATGATTACCACCTCCTTGCCCTCCCGACCTTCCTCCGGAGGCGCTCCCCTCGCGTAAAGTTGGGATTTTTCCTTCATTCTCCCTTCCCTTCCTCCGAGATCTTCCGGACCATTCCTGTTCGCGATGAGCTCCTCCGAGCCCTCCTTAATGCCGATCTTGTCGGCTTCCACACCTTCGACTACGCTCGCCATTTCCTCTCCGCTTGCTCCCGATTACTCGGCTTGGATTACCAGTCCAAGAGAGGCTATATTGGCATCGAGTACTACGGAAGGATGGTCACTGTTAAGATCCTCCCTGTTGGGATCGACATGAACCAGCACGAATCGGTGATTTCTTCTCCGGAGACAACCGTCAAAGTCCAAGAACTTGCGGATAGGTATAAAGATAGGATCTTGATGCTGGGAGTAGACGATGTTGATCTTTTCAAAGGTATCGGAATGAAGCTTCTAGCAATGGAACAGCTATTGGAAGAGCATCCGCAGTTGAGAGGACGGGCTGTGATGGTCCAGATCGCTAACCCCGCAAGAAGTGAGGGGAAGGATGTGCAAGAGGTCCGGGATGAGATAGGGTCCATATCGAGGAGAATTAACGAGCGCTTCGGAGGACCTGGATACGAGCCCATTGTATTGATCAACCGCACCGTGCCAACATATGAGAAGGCTGCCTTCTATGCAGTGGCTGAGTGCTGCATCGTGAATCCAGTGAGGGATGGAATGAATTTGGTCCCATACAACTACACAGTCTGCAGACAGCAGAGCCCAGCACTCACGGATGCTCCAAAGAAAAGTATGATTGTGGTGTCAGAGTTCATTGGGTGCTCGCCATCTCTCAGCGGCGCCATTCGTGTTAATCCATGGAATGTGGATGCTGTGGCGGAGGCAATAAATTTGGCCATCACCATGCCGGAGACTGAGAAGCAGCTGCGGCATGAGAAGCATTATAAGTATGTCAGCTCCCATGATGTTGCATATTGGGCAAAATCCTTCGATCAGGACCTGCAGCGGGCTTGCAAAGATCATTACCTTAGGAGGTGTTGGGGGATGGGGTTCGGAATGAACTTCCGTGTTGTTGCTCTCGGTCCTAATTTTAGGAAGCTGTCGGTTGAGTATATCGTCTCGGCATACCACAGGACGAACAGTAGGCTTATCTTACTTGATTACGATGGGACGATGATGCCACCGAGTTCTATTGACAAAAAGCCAAGCAGTGAAGTTATTTCCGTTCTGAATGGATTATGCAGTGACCCAAAGAACATTGTTTTCTTGGTCAGCGGTAGAGGGAAAGATGAGTTGAGCAGGTGGTTTGCACCATGTGAGAAGTTAGGGATCTCTGCGGAGCATGGATATTTCACAAGGTAATATGCATTGAAATACCGAATTACGTTTCTTTAATTGGTTGTTCAATAATGGCATTTTTTAGTTTTGGTGAGAGAATTTGGTAAGAGAATCTGAAAAGTTGGGGTACAACATATGACATAAACAGGAGTATGCACAAAAATCATCATTGTTGTGTTTTGACAAGTCATTTCCATATAATATGTATTATACAACTTGTGCCAGGATGGCATCCTTGTATATAAAATAAGCCTGTTTAGATTTATCCTACCTGGACCTCACATTGATAAGATTCTCATGCATCAGACTACCTTTCCATTTATTGTACAAATTTTGTGAGTTATAAATAATGCAAAGGCTTTCCTTTGTCAGAGGATGTGGAAAATATAGGTAACACTTGAAAGGAATAGAAATTGCCACATGAATGAATGCAACAAAGTTTGCTTTCTGAAGTGGTACATCACATGGCATAGAGGTTCACAGATGGTTGAACCTGATAAAACTGGATTCAGTAACATTATTATAGTCAGCCATTTTAAATGTCTTCAGAAGATGAAATGAACTTCCATAGTAATACTGTGATTAAGATATGTAAGAGAAGTGTAACTGTATGTATTTGAATGTTTCTGCATTTATTCAATGTATTATGATGATCTGGTTTCTAACTGGTTATCATAACCAAGTAATGACATCTGAAATTCTGAATTGATTGGTTTATACACCTTGTTTGATCAAAACTGAAGGGAAGGTGCTATTATCTTGTGACTGACTGGTTGCCATTGGAGTGCAGGTGGAACAAGGATGCTCCATGGGAATTGTGCATGTTAGCCACAGACTTTGATTGGAAGAAGATTGCAGAACCTGTAATGAGACTTTACATGGAAGCAACGGATGGATCCTCCATAGAACATAAAGAAAGTGCCTTAGTTTGGCATCATCAAGAGGCTGATCCGGATTTTGGTTCTTGCCAAGCGAAAGAACTTCTTGATCACCTTGAGAACGTGCTTGCCAATGAACCAGTGGTTGTGAAAAGGGGCCAGCACATTGTTGAAATAAATCCTCAGGTATGAAGATGTTGACATGATTTTTATCACCTTTTCTAAATCACATGCTTTAAATCTGAACAAAAGAAGTTTCAATGTTACATCCATGACTATCATGATTAAAAGAAGAAAAAACTTAGCTTTTAAAATTAAGGTGCATGGTTTAGGGTTGACTTTTGATGGAAAATGCCCACCTTACATATGGCTACAGTGTCTTTTGATCATTTGTGAATGTCCTCACACATTTTGATTAGAATTCTATCAAAGGAAAAAAAAGAAAGGATGGTTCTCCCTTGGCTTGGGTTGCCATGTGTCCTTTTATTATCATTTGTGCTTTCTAGTTTTGTTCAGCCTTGACTGCCTTGGCTTATCTTGGTTGCAAGTCTTCTTTTCCTCCTCCCTTGTTTTATTCAATATTGACCTGTCTTACACGTAGGGGATATGTTCAGCCTTGACCACCTTGGCTTATCTGGGTTGCTAGTCTTCTTTTATTATTACTTTTCCTCCTCCCTTTTTTTATTCAATGTTGACCTGACCTACGTGTAGGGGATAAGCAAAGGCATGGTCGTTGATAATCTCATGGCAACCATGTTGAGCACTGGAAAGGCCCCAGACTTTGTACTATGCATAGGCGATGACCGGTCAGATGAAGATATGTTTGAGAGCATCAGCAGTTACACAAACAATTCATCAGTCCCAGCAATTGCAGAAGTCTTTGCATGCACAGTTGGCCAAAAACCAAGCAAGGCTAAGTATTATCTTGACGATACAGTGGACATCATAAAAATGCTTCAAGGCCTGGCCAATGCATCATCTGTACAACCACCCAGACCTGCGCAGCCTCAAGTGTCATTTGAAGGTTCTCTCTAAGCAAGTGCATATTGTTTGTCAGATTATTCCAAAATGATCCAAACTTTCTGAGGTGGGAGTTAAACCAGCCTGTGCGTGGGTTGGTGGAACACATGAACTAGAAGGATGGATGTGGAAAACTAGGAATTCAGTTTACATAAGGATCTACTGCAGATTGATGCTGAAACTTCATTGAAAAAGTCAGCTGGCTTGGATATTTCACAGGGAACAAATATTCAGATATTGTATCAAGCGAAGCCATCATACTCAAAGTTAAACTAGCAGTTATATTCCAGATAAAAATCCTTTCCGGATGTAAATATATCATATAGAAGCTTTTTGTTTCTTTTTTTCTTTTGCTCTTAAAAATGGTTACAGTTCTAAAGAAATTTCATTTCGCCCTCATGTTCTTCCAATATGTATGTTTTTTACTTATATTTGTGACAGATACTGAATGTGATAGTGGCTTAATTGCTTGATGTTTAGCATCGATCAATCTTGACAATGAGCTAAGAATTCAGAAACATTTAAGTCACAGAAAATTTTCTGAAACAACAAACAAAACAAGGGATTTATATGATTGAATGAACCACAGCTGCTATCAAAGCGTCTCACCAATGACAGTTCCATGAACAATGTAAGAGTTTGCTTGTTCTGTTGCCTTGGGTGAACGAAATCTGAGCATTAAATTATCATGGAATTTTCATTTACGGGATCACTTCTTTGACTGGAAAAGATTTGGTGTCGATGTTTATCCAAAATGACCTTGCTGAAAATGTGTGGAATCTAAATCACCGCAAGAAAAATTACCAGGAAAACTGAAATCCTTGAGCTTTACCTCGGATTTGATATGTGCTGTCCTTTGAACATTAATTCGTCACAATTACCAGGTCATGAGAACAAGCATCAGAAGTGTTAAGTTGGATCTCTGTTCTTTGTTCTTGGAAGAAATTTTCGTCACTTTGGTGGGAAAGCATTCAATGGTGGTTTAGTGGAAGGATATACTGCAACATTCACACAACCACAGTCTGTCATCGATCCTCCCAAAGTTAATGTCACGGGAATCACATGGGAGGTATGTTCAATTGTATGGGATATAATCTGTGTCCACTTTTTCAGTGGCCACCAACTAAATGTTTCATCATAACATAAATATAAAGGGTTTTATTCTAGATCTGTTTTCTTCATGTATTATTTCTTTAATCTTTCATCCAATTCTTCATCCCGTCTGTTTCCTTTTAGTTAGTATTTAATTGGAAGAAATTTTCGAGAGAGACAGAGAGAGAGAGAGAGAGAGAGAGGTTGACTTTTAACGGATGAGATGTATAAGAAGAGACGATTGATCCAAGGAGAAATGTTAGTGTTGTATAATGAACATGCATGGTTGGTCAACGCCGCCAACTTTGTGGTTGGAGTTCTCAAGCACGTCCAGTGCATCAACATCTTTGGAAAAAGTTGATTTGTATAGGTGAGAACACTCCTATTAGCATGTCTTTGAAATGGTTGACCTAGTGGGTTGACTTTTGAGCGCCATTGGAGGACTAAGTGGTCGGTCATCCCTGGATGTCATGATCTCACATTAATTCGAAGTCTTGAATAGTCGATCATCCATGTAAGAACTGGCCTACCTAGAAGCACTTCGGAGCGTTCGGTGGTCGGACATTCCTCGGTGGAACGATCTTGTGAACGTTTCAGAAACCCAAAGTGGGCAATCACCCCTTGGTGAGATGATATTATAAGCATTTCACAAGGTTAAGTTCTCTATCATCTTTGAAAGGGATGGTTTTGTCAGTTTTCAAAACACTAAGCATTTGATCATCCCTTGGGTGTGATGATCTTGAAGCTCTTGAAAGCATTGGATCACACGGTCAACGCCACATGAGATGACCTTTGTGAGTAATTTATGGTGCATAGGTCAACCTTGTAGCGATGAACCTTGGACTGTTGGCTTTTCCAAGAGGGATGATCTTAAAGCATCTCAAAGATCTAAGTGGAACTAACGGGCACTTCAGGTCAAAGTGGTCACAACGTGGTGGATCAGTACGCTTTCTCATGTCTGCAACCTGTTCGTAACTCCCCAGCGTGGTCAACTGCGAAAAGCTCCGGAAAGGACCAAGTCCATGTCGATGAGCAAGGACGAGTGACTCCCAACCACAGACTGCGACGCGGGCGTTACGCTTCGCGTGTTTCCGAGCTCTGCTCCGCGTCCGATGTCGGTGCATTGAGAGGGAGAAGTCATCCCCTTCTTATCTTGTTCTTGTGGTCAATGCAGTCCCAACGTGGACGCCACTGTTGGCTGCTCTGGTTTTGGTCCTCCCCCTGATGGTGTCCTCTCCCTCTCACTGTATTGGTTTCCTGGGGTTGTTGTCAGACCTTTCTTCCTTGATGTCCACCTTCCAATGCTGCGTCCTCCACTGCCTGCAATTGTCTGCACATTAACTCATTGGGTGATTGGATAAACGTGAGGAGTTGTAACTCTTTATCAGTCTTTGTTCTGCCACTTTGACTTTTAGCAGAGAGAGAGAGAGAGAGAGTTGAATTGATCGACAATTCAAAGTTGTGGAGGCATCAGAATATGCTATAGTAATGTTATCCCTATCTCGACAACTCGGACTTAGAAAATGCTATAGTGACGATTCAAAGCTTGGCAAGGTTGGCTTGTTCTTCTATTTTAATCTTGCAACATGCAATGTACCAAACCGATGCAACAATTTACCTCAAGTTGTTCTGGAGATGTCTGAGTTCAGATCATCCCGAGGTTCACATGTTGCTTAGATGTATCGACACTAGCCCACATGAAACATGGTCTCCATGACACTGACAAGAAGATTTGATAGGAAAACTGGAATGCCATTTCGTTTAAGATTTTACAGCACAGAAGATTTTAGATGGCATTTATCGATCTGAGCTACAGTAGCCAGCTAATGGACAGGACAAAAGAGCCAACAGTGGTGCCTAATTCCAGCAGCAAATCACAATCGAACACTTCAGCAGTGTTACAGGCCAGGCTGGAAACCCAGTTTTATAGGGTACTTTCTCGACAATGGCAGCTGCATGTGATGCTACCACCACACCCTGTTAGTTGGCATTTCAATTATGATTCCAGCTTGTGTCTCTCAATATCAAGTTGGTCAGCAATGCCAGCTTCTCCTTGTATACAGAAAGTCTCACTTGTTGCAAAAGCAAAACAAGTTTGCACATCCTTCTGAGTCCATCGAACAGCTTTACAAGATGAAAACAATATGATTGTGGAGCCCTGCTATCCTCGTTTGAGCGAGGACTTAGGTTTTCTGTCTTCTACTCGCAAATGATGTATCAAATAGCTCAAATCCTTCCAAGCGGTGATGAACTATCGAGTAAAAAAGCTTGTGATGGCATCCCAATATCCAGCGAGCTGAAGGGAAAAGGCTGGTGTCATTTATGATGATATGGCAATCAGAAACATGATATGATGCATGGTATTTAATTATAAGTACCTGGCCTAAGATCCCCTTTCCAGTCTGGCCCTCGACGACCAATCCAGCTGTGAGGCCGATCATTGCTAAAGTTCCATTAACTGCTTCAGCTTGACGCCGCCTCTGAACACGGAGAATAGCAACAGAATTTTAAGTTTGTGCAGGTAGAATGACTGATCAATGAACCATGCAGAAACAATTAGCCTCTAGATCACACAAGTTAGAATGCTAATGAGGGATGTAACTCACAAAATCTTATCATGTCAATAGACCATTCTTAATAAGGAACTTGGAGCATTGCAGTACGTTAGCAAATCAAATGACCAATTAAAACCATGCACAAAAAAAGTTGAGAATGAGCATACAATGTTTTACTTCAATAAATCTGATGATAAAAAAAGTAGGACACAGAAAATGTTGAGAATCAACAAATACTTGTTGTTTTCTGATCATATTATGAATCTACATAATTGACTACATCATTATATTCTTATTGGAGTTTGTACTGATTTATTTTGTTTAATATAAGCAGACTATCTAGTCTAGTGTGTTGAATGAATTGGACAGTCACTCGTTGGGAATAGCATCCCACCTCTCACTCCATAAGAATAGAAGAGATAAAATGTTACACAATGTTTCCTTTATCCTAGCATATCTACTCTCACCAATTCATGAAGATCCCCACAAAAATTGCCAGTTCCATACTTTCAATAATTGCCTACTTGGCAGCATCACTCCTAGCTGGCAGATGTGTTTCCAAAACATAAACGAGTGAAGCAAGGATGCTTCCACTTGCACAACCTACAGAGGTCTAAAAAATCTGTGCAGAATTGTCAGGAATCAAAAATTCATTCCCACAAAATAAATAATAATAAAGTATCTTTGTCTAACAAATTATACATGCTCCCTCAAATATCACCAAAGATAACCTTAACTTCCTATTCCTTCTCTAATCAATAAAATAATTGAGAAGTTGTACTTCCCGGCATAAACAAGATAGTAGATGTATTGTTGTGAATCTTTGTTGTTCCCCTCTCTCATAGTGAGTTATAACAAAGAATCTTTATCAAAAGGATTGCTCAAGTGGCTTTGGTTTTAACAATTAACGTTCGGTAGCTCAAGAAATTCTCCAGAGCTATTTCTCTAGATTACTAGATGACAAGTTAGTCATTTGGAATTTCAATGTTAACATAGTTATCTGTGGTAACTAAGAAACTTCGTCTATTTCCAATATTCTCCATAATTGTTTCTGATTGATCTGCTTGAAAATTTTCACTGGTCTCTATTTTAGATGCATCAAATGCAACTTGTAACCATTTTTCTAAGAAAAAATGAATTACATACTAAGGATAACAAAAACAAAATCTGAACCTAAGATCTATAGAAGAAATGACTTGCCAATTTAGTTGCAAAGCTTCATTTACTTCTATGTCGGGTAATAACTTCAATAAAGCATTATGAATGCATTTCTGTAACTCCAAGCTCCTAAGATCTACAGAAGTGATGATTATTACAAGATACCATCTTAGCCTTTCCCTACTCAGTTAATACTGCTTGAGAATCACTGAAACACATGAACTGCAACCCGAATAAATTATTTTGTAATACTTCTTATGCTACATATTTAGCAGCTAATATTGGTAAACTGCATTAAAGAAACAATTTGAAATTCTAGGAAAGCACTTGCCCCCATTCTCTGAAAAGAATATTTGACTCTGCCTCTGCCTCTACCACCGCCACCTAATGCTTGATCATCTCTCCTTGTACCACTATTGCTATCCACAACTGCTGGTTCTCCTTTCACCACCTCTCCGCCTACGATTGCAACTATCCATAGTTTTGCCTTGAGCAGAGGTGACCCAAACTTTCTGATGCCAGCTGGGACTTCAACTTGTTAATCAGGCTGTTTTTAAAGGCAAAGTTGGTGACATAATGTTCTGAACAATCCCCATAAGCTTACAGAAAAGGCATGGGTTGAATACAAGTCAGGTCAAGGCTTATCCACCATGGCTCGTTTGAGTTGACCAAGG